ATGATTACACTTGTGCTGAAGGGCAAGATGATCGAAGAACTGTGGCGCCTCTCCAACACCAGCGAGCATATCCATGCGAGGGAAATGAAGGAGAAGCTTTCCATTAAACTTCAAAAGCAGAAGTGTTCCACATCACTAGGTAAACCAACAGAAGATGGGGACTCGTCTCCATATTGCTCGGTCTTGAGGCATATCTTCTCTATGTCTGAAACTACCATTATTATTCAAGACACAGTGACTAGCAATATCACTATTACTCCTCAAAAATATGCTTCTCATGTTGTTGATGAAAGAGAGGTGATGGAGGAGTGTCTGCTTCTGAGGGAGCTCCTGAAGAAATGCTCTTGCAATTCCCTCCTCTTCTACAACTGGCATGTAGACTGGTATGTCACCAATCGTCGCCGCTCTGATGGATTTCCATTTCAAGGTTTCTTCCTTTGTTCCCCTATCCGAGAGGAACAAGGCTAGCCATGTTACCCCTTCTACCATGTCTAGATCCTTGTCAGGGGAGTCGACTTCATCCTCTAGAGGTGATATCCCACCTTCACCCAAGGGTAGGAAGTATGTCAGCAGGGAAATGAGCTGATGAAGGAAGAGGACGTTCCCCTCTAATGTGTGGATGAGTTAATTAGAATCACTTGATGTTCTTATATATTTTTATGGATGAAATTGCACTTTACAAAAGATATTTTTGTGTTTATCTTGCAGGTACAATAGAAAATTGAAGTGAAGAAAGCAGAAGGAGACTTGGAGCTTACAGGTGTAAAGTGGCACTGGCGCCTAGGCGTTGGAACCATTGGCACCTAGGCGTTAGTCCCTACCTTAAGAACCCGAGAGGTTAGGAGCCAACCATTGTGGGCTTAGGTGTTGTGAAACTGGCTCCTAGGCCTCGGACCCTTTGAGTGCTTAGTTTCCCATTTATTCCTCAGCAAAATAGCGAGCCTGGTGTCTAGGCGCTAACCTTTGGGCACCTAGGCGCCTAGGCACCATAAACTGACTAGAGCAGTCGCTGCAATTTAGGAATTCAGTCGTGTGGAACGTGTGGCGAATCGTGTGGGGATGCTGGGAATTTATGGAAGCTAATGTTGTGTCCACAAAAAGTTGTACATGAAGGACTTAAAGGAGATTGATGTTAGTTGGTTAATTAGTGGTTGGTAAGCCCTTCTTGTTTCAGTGCAGAGGACAAGGAGCGTTCTATAGGAGCATCGGAGTAAGGAATTTAGAAAGTGTGTTGATTGATCCATCTTTTAGTAGTTATAAAGAAGAAAAAGGTAAGTTTTGTATATTCTTTCTATTGTATTTCAATTTGTAACAATTGAATAGTGGATTTCTCTTGTTTCAATGAATTTGTTTGGTGTTTTCATCATGCTTTTTGAGTAGACTTGTCACTCTTCTTTGTGATGATTAAGTAGGATGGATGTAATGAGAATTGCATATTATTTTTTATTATTTTATATGGTGATGATAAATCTTCAAGACTTAATATACTTTTTATTCTGACCAAGCTAATTGTTAAAATATGTTGTTAACCATAAGTCTTGGGAAAGTGTGGGTGGAATCAGCTAGGCTTATCACATTAAACTATAAGGTATAGGTTGATATGCCTTTTGGGGAGATGCAAATGCTAGAAAAATATACTCTTATGGGTTAGATATGGGATTTATGGGAATCAAGTCATTTCTAACCAAGTTTCTTTATGCGCTCAGGAGAGAGTAAAGAAGATTATTGCTCCTATTTGTCACTAATCTTATCTAGTTGCAATTCTTAATTTCGTGATATCTTTTTAACTCATTACAAGGAAGAGCCACTAGTAATTGATGTTTTTAGTGTAATTATAATAATTTAAGTTTAGTTTTATAGGACTGTAACTTTTAAATTGCTTGTGACACATTAGGATTAATATGTAGGAATATTTCAAAAACTAAAGTTTCAGGCTATGACTAAAACCAATAGGCTAGAGATTTTCCTAACAAGGATTACCTCGTTCCCTATAGGATCGACATTCTGGACTCTAAAATTTGATATTACTGATACAACATGTGAAATTTTGTGAGCCTCTATGTGTTTTAGCACTAGGAAGTGACATTAATTTTTGGCGCAGTTGCCGGAGAACGACGGTAATTTGACTTAGAAAAGTTTTAGTTGAACTTTGAGGTCTTGGACTTGAAAACATGTAGTGTTAATTATCTGTGTAAAAAAATTTTCACTATTTTTAAGAAAACCATGAAAAACCAAAAACATTTTTGTTTGATTGTGTGTATATTCAATGGCCTAGACTAGATCGACCATTGACACATTAGGATTAGGGTGTCAAACCTTGCATCTCTTGATATAAGCGTGGTCACTCGAAGTACCAAGACGACTGCTGATCAGAGAGGCATGGCTACTGACCCTGGTTGCCTTGGATTCCCTTCTAGTTGTCTCAAGGTCTCGAATCTCAATTCAATCATACGTCAATGACTCAGTCACTCTTTATCCTTCGGTTTTCCTCCCGGTCTCCGGGTTCTGTTCCCAAGGGTCAGATGCTCTCGATTTAATTTTAGAGGACTCCATAAGGTAATCTTTGGCAACGATGTGATCGTTTGCTAATTCTACAACCTTCACGAAGGTATTTGGCTTAATTTCAAGTCACACATGAATTTCTTGTTGAGGATCCACTGCTTCACGTGTTGTTCGGGCGATGAGAGGTCCCAAGTTCTTCACCTCTAGCATTTCCTTTTGGAAGTTAGTGATGAAAGCTCATAGGCTTTCACCATCGCCCTGTTTGATCTAAAGCAAGGTTTCTATTTTCTTCCTTAGCTTCTGCACATTAGCAAAGTGTCTCAAGAAGAGCTTTTGGAATTCAAAGAATGATGGGATGACTCCAACCGGTAGGCTAGAAAACTATCAGTTCGTGATTTCTTTCAGCGTAGTCAGGAACAGCCAGCACTCCATGTCATCATCGATTTGCAGAACCAACTCTCGATCAAAAGAGGCGAGGTGGTCTTGGTCGCTTTTCATTTTATATGGATTAAAGTGAGGAATCTTGAGCTTCGTCGGGAGTATTGTTTCTAGAATTTTTCGGGAGAATGTGCTAACAATGATTGGGCGAGCGAGTGTTTTTATTAGATCCGCCTGATGTGGGACTCTCATCGTAGATGCAACGCTATCTACTAGATGGAAATCTCGTCGTCCTTCTATTGGTCGGTCATCGGGCCAATCGTGGGGTGCTGACAGCTTATCTTGGGGAGCCCTCAGGGGGAGGGGTGTGTGTGGGTTCCCCGAGACACTCCCTCCATGGGCGGCGGTCAGGTGTTCATGATCATGACCGCTCGAAGAGTTTCAAACCGGTCCATTATTTGTGTTCATAGTGCCTGGATCTCTTACTGTATGTCTCAACATAATCTCTCTTTATTGAACTCTATTGGCGTTAAATCTTTTTACAGGGATTCTCCTTTGCAGTTGGCTCTGCTTCTCGTCTGGGGCATGTCAACGCTCACCGCACCACCTTTTAGAATGTTGAATCATAAATTATCCTTTGTGAACACGCCTCGAGAGTTAGAACGAATAAAAGAGGAAAGCGAAGGATATAGTAGAATAAGTCAAGAATTTACTGTAGAGAGAATGGGAAGAAGGGCCCATTTATTTTTCATTTTTCTTCCTATTTATAGGGGCGTATTAGTACAATTACAGAAAGTAGGGAACAATTTTAAATGAAAACCATTTTGAAGAAAAAAAAAAAGTTGATACTCTAATTAATCTTATACATTTTATACTACATTTGTATTACAATTTAAATTTTGATATGGCGGTAATTAGTTGGTTGACTTGCTTGAAATCGGTCAACTGCGATGACCGGCTGAGTGGCAGCCACGCCTTCTGAAGTAGATGTCGGTCGACTGGGGCGCCCGATCATAAGGCGATCTTGCTCGCCGTAGTAAAAGTTGGTCGGTCGGCTAGCTTGCAATCAAAGTCTCTTTTATGTGTTATAGTCAATTAACACTGCATGTATGGTTCGTCGATTGAATCTCTTGTGATAGTGTGTCAGTCGATTCTGATCACGTGATCGCTTGTTGGACGATTGGTTGCCTTGATTGTTTGACCATCATCTGGACCGTTCGATTGCTTTGAGATTTGTGTTAACAGATTTGGTGTATACAAGTTTTTTAATACTTTAATTCCATACATCAAAACATATGCATGAAAAAATGTGTTCTGCTCTAAAAAAATTAATAATAATAATAATAATTTTAATGTGAAGTTAAATATTTGACCTTTACACAAGCAAAATTATGTATGTAAAAACATATAAATTGCATGATATATAAATTACCATATAAATTTCCATAGCGAGTAAAAAAAACATTATTAGTAGTTATAACTATACAGTTATACAATACAAGCATAAGAGACTAGCCCATGACTCAGCTCATAAAAATTTAATTTTGCTGTGTGAACTTGAGAACAATATTTTAATAAGAATTATAAGTTTGAGTATACAGAAATTTGATTTAATATTATAAACTTTTCTTCTCTTGACATAATTATCATTATTAACTAAAATACAATTATTTTTGGAAGATTTACAAACACACAACTTAATTCGTGTGTTACATATTTAACACCGACACCAATTTTTAGTCATATGCCCTCACTTTTTTTAAGGGTAAAATAGTGATTTTTTTTTTTATTTTATATTAAAATTTTGGGCGTTATGAATGTTAAAAGGTAAAATTGAGGGTTTATATATGTAACACAGAAGAGTTGGACTGATATGTAGGTATATGACCACCCATGATTTTTGTGGAAATTTACATACATACCACACAATTGTTATCAAATTTAATATTTATACTTATAACACATTTGTATATTTAACTTTTAAAAAGAGATAATGATATTTTTGATATGATGTTAAGGATTTTAGTGGTATTTCTGTAAATATGACTGTCTATATGTATATACATAAGCAATTGGTGGTGCATGTAAAAGGAAGCCCCCTTAATTTTTCTCTTGTGCAGGATTCCAGAATACAAATAAGTGATGTGAAATACAGAAATATAAAGGGAACATCGGCATCTCCTATAGCCATAAACTTTGACTGCAGCCCTACTAATCCTTGTAAGGAGCTCGGAATGAGCAATATAAAGCTCACATACAAAAATCAACCTGCAAAGTCACTTTGCAGGCACGCTTCTGGAAATTGTACAGGACTCATGATCCCACCAAGTTGTTTGTGATGGTTTTTGTGAGGAGGATTTCATAAATATTATATGAGTATGTCTATTAACATATTGTACAGTTTACATACCGCTCAATTTTACATACAAATCAATTTCTTACTCATAATCTGTCTCCGTGGATTTTCAAATTGATCAAATCAATTGTAACTTATATCCAACATCCAACCAAAAAAAATAACTTAATTCACTTGAAACAGACTGATTAATGAACATAACAAAATTTAATTATTAACAAACAACATGAATTACTAATATCATTTTAATTTCATAAATCCTCCATTTACATCTAAATTTTAATTCTTTTAACATAAATTAAAACCATAACTATAAACAAAAATCAAATATTATAATTTTAAAAACCAAATACTCAAATAAACGAAACTTAACCAATTTAATTTTTATAATTGCATATCCTACCTATCCTTGAATTAAAATTATGATATTTTTTTATATGTAATAGTTGGATGGTCTAATTGTAAAAGACAAAATTTAGCTGTTAGAGGTGTAAATACATAAGAATTTGGGTGATAAGGATGTAAATGCTCTTCAAAGATTTAACAGTTCAGTTAAAATTGAAATAAATTACATAAAAGAAAAAACTTCTATATCCATCTCATGCAAAAGAATGCACGTTACGCTTTTAAAAGAATTGTGGGCAAAAATACACTGCTAAAATTTTAATCATGATAAATTTTAAAACCCTTCCTTATATTTGCCTTCAATATTTTTTTTTTAAAGGGAAAAATTACATACATACCACCTAATTCCTACCGTATTTATATATGAAACAGCTAAAATTTAATTTACATCTATGCCACTGCATCACTTTTCAAAAGTTAAAAGTGCTAATTTTTATGTGATATGAAGGATTGGGTGACAAATTTAAAAAATAAAGTTTAGTTGTGAAATATGTTAACAAAACAACCAAATGAGCAAAGCATAAGATAACTAGGAAATAATATAACAAAAAGCTCATCAAAATCTGTGCAACATAATGTAACATAAGTTAGTCAATTGCTTCATACTCAACATATCTTTGAAAAGGCCAATAAGAAGCTTAAAATAAGCACCCCAAAGGTGAAACTATAAGAGCAGTAAGAAAATATCACTGAAGAAGAAGCACTAAAGTTGAGGCTTAATGAAATGAATAGTGTTTTGATCACCTTCTTCTCATGCCTCTTCCGCCGCGTCCACCGAAAGCGGGACGCCCGCGACCGGCCATCGCACTTGCTGCAGCCTCGCCCTGGGCGCTCTCCGACTAAAGATTAGCATCAAAGAAAACCATTAGCGGAATCCACAATTCATATGTACAAAAAATTAGATTATAAGAATAAAATAAACGGAAATATTTCTATAAAGATATATTAAAAATTGGGCATTTACATACAAACTACCCATTTTCAAGGTATTTACATATCTAACATATAAACTTTACTTCTTACATTTATAACATCGAAATCTTTCATATCACGCGAAAAAACCATAATATGGGTAAGATGGTATATATATGTAACTCTTTCATTAAAATTTTGAAGATACAGGTAGGGTGCCTCTCTCTCTCTCTCTCTCTGCATGTGTGTGTGTGTGTAGCTTAATAGCTGCATAGAGCAGCAATAGATGCAAAAAAAAATATAGTGATTTCTATATCATTAAAAAAAATGCTTAGTGTTTAATGAAAAAAAGCATAAGCAGCATATATGCATGCAGTGTATAAAATATGCATCTTATTTAAAGAATATTTTTATCTTTATTTATGTATTTTTATGTTTTTCATGGTATTTGTGACTTTATGTAGTGTACAGGTGATTAGAAATTTACAAAGTAAATGAGATGAAACGGACTAAAAATGGGATGAAATGAGTTGAACCAGGCTGCTCGAGCACCCCTCACCAAACCTAGGCGCCGCTTTGCCAGTCTTGATGCCCAAGCGCAAGCAGACAGCAAAACTGGAACCCAGACACAAATTCTGGGCACCCAGAGGCCAAAAATGGGAGCCTAGGTGGCCAGAATCCTAGAAATCCAACCTGAGAAGGCGAAAAATAGGCAAACAAGGGTCTTGACTGCAGCATCAAGACACTAGTGACCAACCCCTAAGCGCCGCTTCACACGATTTGATGGTTGAGAGTGGTTCACATGCGTTGATTTGCGAAATTAAGTATTAAAAACACATGGTTTACATTTGTGGTGGCGAGGGGCGGGCCGGGGTGGTGGGGAGTTCACAAAGCATTGGGGAGGGACTCTCAACCTTGAAAAATTCTGTAGTCGATGAAAGAGACAAATGATGAGAGATTTCAAATAGATCAGAGTGTAAAATCATGTTGTAAACTTCAAAATTCCGTGTGGAAAGAGAAAAGACACAAGTTTGCAGAATATTTATATTTACAATTGACTTTTATTCGTTAAGATCATGTATATTATATTTCCTTACAATAAAATCATGTGTTGTTTGTAAGTATAATTTGTGAGTAGTTTTCTCGTTTCTCTCTTTGATTGGCTATGTAGGAATGACTAGTGAAATTTTTTTGGTGTGATTTCATGCAATCTTTTTCATTGTGATATTTTAACCTTTAGACCTTAATTTACTTTTGACCTAGCCAGTTAAAATGTTAAAACTCATCGTGAACTTAGTGGAACAACTAGGTTAACATAGTAATTCAAGGGTATTGGAATATTGTCTCTAGATTAGTGCAATCATTTAGGGAGAAGTGGTAGCTTGGGCTAATCACTTGATTTAGGAGACTAAACCAGTATGATTTCCAAACTTTCTTAGATGCCAAGGAAGGGATAAAGAAGATTGTTGCTTCCGATTGTCACATACTAGTTGATACTTGTTGAATCACCAATTTGAACTAAAATTCCTACGGAACCAATTCAAATAAGAGAAATTTTCAAAAATTAATATTAGTCCCTTTAACAAAATACAAAAACTCCATACATTCAAGTTCAAAACCAGCAGGCTGAATCTTTTTCACTTTAGAATTTAGCTTGTTCCCTATGAGAACAATACATGGACTCTGTCGTACACTTGTGCATTCTTCAGTGTTTCACAATATTTGGTTCATATCAATTTTTTGGGGCAGTTATTGAGAACAACGTTGAATTCTAATTTTGAAAAATTTTAACCGACTCAATAGGGTCTAAGACTTGAAAAGTGTAGTGTCATACTTTCATTGCTATTTAGGGTTTGTTTGGGGTAGCTGCAATTATAGAAACAGCTGTGAAATAACTGAAGAAGCTGTTATTCAAAAAACTACGGTGACTAATACATTTTTTTTTTTTTGACCGCATTTTTCCGCATTTTTCTAGCAGTCACCGCAGAAAGCCAGATATGGTGGCAAAACATAAATTTCAGCTACAATTTTTTGAGAGGGCGAGCAAAACATAATTTTGCCAAAGAGGAAAAATTGTGCTGTGACACCATATCGCTGCACCAAACACACCCTTAGTTTTCATCCAAAAATGACTCGTGCTTCCTGTTTTACTATTAAATTACTGCACGAGTTTTATTGCTTATTCATCAGTGCAAAAATTGTGTTTTGTTTGCCTTTTACTTCTGCATGTTCTTGCTTAGCTATCTTTAGTTTACTTTTGCATGTTCTTGCTTAGCTATCTTTAGTTAAGTAGCAGTTGTTTGCTTGAATTATGTATATTTGATAGTTAGGGTCACTTCACTAGAACTATCTAGTTGTGTAAGCATGGGACTGAAACTTCAAAACGAGTGCCCTACAACTCTAAACTAGAAAAAACTGTAAAAAAAAATCAGAAAATTTAAAAGTTTTGAAAAAAAAATTAGGGGAGATGATAATCCCACCTCAAGAAGAACACTTCAAACTCCGTAGAGAATTTGGCAACCCAATGATAGATGAATTAATATGAGTATCAATAATCATACCAATCATGCCAACACATTTCATTTTAAAGATACAACCATTCAGATGGTCCAAAATAATTAATTCACCCTAACCTCCATATAACTAGTTTCTTAGAGTTATCTCCAACATTTAGATATAACGGTGACTCAGATGACATTGCAACACTTAGGTTCTTTCCATTCTCCCTAGTGGATAAAACTAATATTTGATTGACTTCATTAGCCCCAAGCAAAGTATTTCTCACCTTCAAAAACTGACAAACCTAAGAATGATATCACATTTTTTTGTCGTTGGATGGTGAAATCATATACGAGACTTGGGAAAGGTTTAAAGAGATGCTTTGGAAGTTCCCACACCACAGTGTACCTGAATATCTTATCATTCAAACTTTTTGAGATGACTATTTCCTAATCGATGAGATGACTACAAACAAATTCTAATGACCTTCAGATTGAGTCAACCCAAGGAAAGTAGCTAATGTCAATGACACAACCTCACAAGTTTTATTTCAGGGAAATTAGATAATATAAGCCTTAATCCAGTGCAAGAATCACTACCTAGTAATGAAATAGCCTACAAACCAGGGAAATTCTTATACTAATTCTTTGGAAACCATGAACGTCATAAGAGATAGGTTCAATAACCCATATTTCAACGCTTAATACCCAGGTTGAAAGAATCAAATAAATTTTAACTAAAATAACAATCACCAAAAGGTAGAAAACTAGCAATGAAGTAATAACCAACCCAACTCTGTGGGTAATTGGAATAATTAGGGTAGTGGCCACCCATGACTTACCTACCCTCCTGGATTCACTTATAATCCTCATTTTAAGAAGAAATTGTCATTGGAAAAAATGGTACTGAACATGGAGAATCAGATTCAAAGTCATGCTACAACCATAACGAATATTGAAACACAAATTGGGCAAAAAAACAAACTCATTGAGTCAGAAACCCCAAGAAACATTATCTAGCAATATAGAGGTAAATCAAAACGACCAAAATATATGGAGCAATGCAATGTTATAAGACTTAAGAGTGGGAAGTTTCTTGAGAAGCCTAGAGTGAAAAAGCATAGAATAGAGGAACCCGAGTCTAAGCTTGTTAGACCTATAGAAACACTTACTCCGACTTGAGAAATATACCTTCACAACCTATGATAGAGCAGGAAAGAACCACGACATTTTCCTCAAATGTTGGTTAAACAAAAACTGAACGAGTAATTCTCTAAGTTTTTGTAAATGTTCAAAAAGCTCAATATTAACACTTCATTTGTAGAGGCACATGAATAGTTGCCCAATTACATGAAGATTTATGAATGACTTTTTGAACCAAAAAAAAAAATGTAAATTTTCATACATTGAAATTGTGGCATTAACTGAAAACTGCAGAGTTATAATTCAAAGAAAACTCTCACAAAAATTGAATAATCCAGTTAATTTATAATTTCTTGCATTATCGAAGGCCATTTATTGGAAAGGCTTTATGTGACTCGAGAGCTAGCAAAACGTAATGTCTTTTTTAATGTATGAAAGACTATGAATGGTAGAACATCAACGCGCCAAAGTGAACCTTCAATTAGGTTTTTTAACTTTCCCAAGGGAGGTTATAGAAAATGTCCTAATAAAAGTAAAAAAAAATTCATCTTCTCTAATGATTTCATTATTTTGGATATGAAGAAAGATACTGAGATCCCTATTATTTTTGGCATATCTTTTCTTGCAACTTGTAAGGCGAATATTGACTTACAAAGAAGATGAGTTAACTGTTAGAGCGCAAAATGAGAGTGACTTATAGAATTCATGATCTTATGCCACTCCCTCATTATATCATTGACCAATATTTAAGATTGAAAATAGAAAGGTTGCAAGATATTTAAAATGAGAAGTCCGAAAGGATAGATTAAATATTTCAAAAAGAAGTTGATACGGGATCATAGCATAATACGACTAGATATCTAGGACAACTAACATTGAGCAGAAGATCAAGGATTACAAAAGTGGATATTTGATCATGGAGAAAAACCTTAGAATTTTAAGCTTGTCTCGCGTGGGACATAAAATCAAGCGCTATTTGGGATGCAACACAAGTGTTTTCTTTATGCATGCTTGTGATTGGGTTAGGTTGAGGATGTTAAACTACGAGCTTATTGGGAGGCAACCCAAAATATTTCTTTTTTTGTGTGTGTTTTTGTATGCATTGCTTGCTAGTATCTCTAGAGCCACTCACTTCTTACTCATGTTTAGGAGCATAATGATTATAAGGACAAATACGTCTGACATGTCTGCTATACAAACTTTAATCTTGCTACTACATATTATATAATGGGAATGTGATACAAACCTGTGTTTACTTCTGCTTTTATTATATATATTTCATGATA